CCCCCACTCCTTCCTTACCTCTTCAAGATAAGACAAATCACCTATGACCAAATCAAAATGGAGCTCAGCTCCCCCTACAATCAGTAGTGACCAAATAAAATATTTTTGTCACTTTTTCAGAAGAATTACTTAATTTATTATTATTATTTTTAAATTTTACCCGAGAGGGAGAGAGAGGCACAGGGTGGTGGAGAGGGTGGGCAGTGAGAAAGCAAGCTGCCACATCCTGGGTTCAAACCATGGTCAGCTATGAGCGAGTCCAGCACCTTAACCATCATACCACCTGTCAGCTTTTCCCCACCACTTTAACTAATTGTAATGCCCCTGGCGCTAGCTGAGGCTGAGGAATGGCACAGAAGGTACTCAATTTGAGATGTTACTGCATAGGCATATTGAAGGAGGAAAACACAAGAAAAGAAGGATTGTAGCAAAAATGCAAGCACTCAGATGAATTCTGAATGGAAGGGGGCTTTTATTTCCATTGTTGCTGCTGAAGACTCAGTTCTGCTATTGCTCCCACTTTACAGAAGGATGCTCATTTGGAAGTTTCACGGGAAGCAGTGGGAACCAAGTAAGCAGATGGCACACAAAACAGCCCTCTATTTGTTCTTCTTGGGGGGAAAAAAAAAAGATAAAGAAAAATCAATGCCTGACCTATTCACCCCTTCTGCAAAATGAGATAAAAATAATGTAGAAGTAAACTGGGGGATTAATGAGTTAGTAATTAATTTAAGCTCTTTCTGCAGAGATGGGGCCAGCATGCCACAATGTTTAAATTTTATACATGATCAAAAGCATTAGGTGGTTGACAATAATAATGAGTATCCTTGAGTTCCCAGAACTTAGAGCAAATCTAAAATTTGAGAGAAGAAATCCGGCTGTTGGCATCTTGTCCAACAGCCGGATATGTTAAAAGTTCCAAAGTGAAATGTATTATTCAGTGTGGTTACTTCTCTCCAGCCAACTTTTAAATGAACTAGAATTTTCCCATCATCATTTCATAGTTGAAAAATTGTCAAAATATTTAAATGGCTTAGTCAAAAAGAAACTTACATTTCAATTTCTTAATAGAACTTGAAAAGGAAAAGAACTCCCAGCAGGAACTGGAATATGAAGTCCAGTGTTTCAACAGTAGTTTTTAATATCAGGGTCTGAAATTGAGCTGACATTTCAAAGTGTAAAAGAGGAAGATCGTGGCTTCTTTGCATTAATTCTTGCTTTCTAAAAATTTTAAATTATGATTAAAATGTCTCCCTTTTTCCTTCCCGTTCTGTTGCATAAATCCTGAGAATTCTAAAGAGGCTCTGGTCACTTTGTGATAGCCATTTATAAACTTACTAGGTGATAGGCCTGTGGGATCTATGAGTTTCCTACAAACCTACCTCTCCATTGCAGTAGCAGTAGACAATTGACACAAAGAAACCCTGGAGAACAAAAAAGAAGGTTAGTCCACAGGCAAGTCATGAAGCCCATAGCACTGAGGCGTCATGTGTCAAAATGCGGAAGTTGAAAAACTGTTCTTTGGGACCAGCAGTTAGCGTAATGGCTATGTCGCTGGACTCCCAAGTAGTCAACCACGGTTCGAGTACTGGACCGGGTGGCTTAAACTCACGCCGGGCATGTGTGCGTGCATGCCCAAGATCTTGAGAGGAGAATGGAGGAGAAACTATTGCAGCATGGCCATCCCCCCAGGAGGTGATTTCTTGCTTTCTGTCTCTCTGTCTCTCTCTGTCTTTTTGGCAAGCGCACGTGCCCTATAACAAAAACCTCTCCCCCCAAAAAAGGGAAAGAAAAACTGTTCTTTTATGATTCTTTAATGCAATTACATAAAGCATTCTCTCCTAATATTTCCAAATCTTTAAGTTTATATTAAATATGTTTGGGAGTTTCCTTGGGTCAGTTAAACCAAACAACTGAATAAAACACCCCAAGATATACAAAGATCCTATTTCTGTTACATTAGTTTAATTATGTTGCCACTCAAAGATCATATAATATTCCCTGTTTGGTAATATATATTTATATTCCATTATGCTGGAAGCTACAGACATAAAGTACTATATGGCAAGAACATAAAGAAACCGTTTTCATTTATTTTAAAACATTTATTGAGCTTACGGCATATACTAAGGTCTGTTCAATGTGATAGGGACAAGTGATGTAAACAAGATAGAGCAAGTTCCGGTTCTTGCAGTGTTTACATTCTAGAAGGGAA